TGCAAATAGATTATGAGGAGATTTTTTTCAATCGAACTTAGTTTCAGTCGTTTCAAACTCGATTGAGAATCGATTCAAATTCAAAGTGTTTTAGAATCGAATTGTTATCGACTTGTCGGTAAGTCGATGGCAAATAGATTATGAGGAATTTTTTTCAATCGAACTTAGTTTCAGTCCCTTCAAAGTCGATTGAGAATCGATTCAAACTCAAAGTGTTTTAGAATCGAATTGTTATCGACTTGTCGTTAAGTCGATTGCAAATAGATTATGAGGAGATTTTTTTCAATCGAATTTCAAGCAACTAACAGGTAAGTCAATTCCGAAGCGATTATCCGTAACACTTTTCAGCCGAACTGAAATCTAGTTGGTTGAAAGTCAATTTAAATTCTATTTTAGCCCGAAATTGTTTATAATCGAATTTCAAACCACTAATGGAAAAGTCGATTGCAAATACATCAGGATTATTGAGTTTTGTGGAAGTCGTTTGAGGGTCGCTTTATGGAAATTTCTCAGCATTGAGTCTCAATCGATTAATTGATAAGTCAATTAGGAAAGGATTATAAGGAAATATTTTCAACCGAGCTAAAATCAAGTCGCTTGACAGTCGATTGCGAGCGAATTCAAGCTATACGTGATTTGGAATCGAGTACCGATCGTGTAATAGGTATGTCGATTACGAACACATTATAAGAAAATCTTTTTAATGGAACTACATTCGAGTTGCTTGAATGTCGATTGAGAGTCGATTTAAGCTGGAAATGTGGTAGAATTGACTTCTAATCGACCAATGGGCAAGTCGTTTGTAAAGAGAGTATAAATAGTTTTTTTCAAACAAACTAGAATCGAGTTTAGCGAACCTGGATTCTTTTTTGAATTGAGTTTCTATCGAGTTATGAGTCACTCGATTACAGATGGATAATAAACAAAAATTTTCCTTGGAAATAAAATCAAACACAATCAATTCACAATAGTAGCAATGGTATCGGAATACCGAATTGGACGTCTTCGCTGCGAATGATGGAATTAAGATTTAAGAGATGCAACGAGCATCTTTTTTCCAATCTTCCAGAATTCCAATTTCCATTTTGAAACTCTCAACCATTTGTTAGGTTTCTAGAAAAAGCAGTTAATTAGAAAATCAATGAAAAATTAACAAGGGCATTGCTTTTCAGCTTCATTAGCTATTAGAGAATGATCGTACAATATAAGAAAATATATAACTAAAATAATAATATGCCTCATGTGTAAGTAATGTCAAATTTTATATATTGGTTTGAATACGCCGATCATAAAATAGGTATTAAGAATAAGTTTGATTTTTGCCAAATTACATTTTTTTGCTTCCATCGTGTAACTACATCATTGAATTTAATCAGTTTCCCATACGTTGGGCAATTTCATAACACGGATTCCTTCAGCACTATCCACTTTCAACGCTGGGCCTGTGATATTGCTGGCCTGTATTAAAACTAGCTCATCACAGGGACTCACATTTTTTATGAATCTTGTATTACAGGCGTTTCCAAGATATTGAAACCGCTTTACAAAGAGGCCATTAATAATTTCGTCCCCATTCGAAAAATTAACTATTGAAGAAATATCACCGAATTTCTCGTCATTGTAACAAATGGTACAATTGGAAAAATTAGTTGTTGTCCGAAAATCAAGTGTTCTATAATCAATCCCATCGATGCGAGCATGTTTATAAACTGTGAAATTTTCAGGAACATATCCAGCTTGACAGATAATATCACGTTCGCTTTCAGACGGCTGTCTGCAATTTCCTTTTCCTAAGCAAACAAAGCGATGGCTGCGGATATCGTTACGCTCAATAGAGTAATCATAATGTACTACATTTAAAAGTTCTGAAATGTAATTCCTAGTGTCATGAGATATTGTTTTATCATATGCACAATTTTGGATGAATTTGTTCATTAGAAATCTGGTATAGACTTGCAGTACTGCTCCATTAGAACTTGTTATTGCCTGAATAATCTTTCGGTTCATGGATTCAAATGGATATGCATTGTGGACCCACATTGGGCCCCAATTTCTGACAGTTTGACATACATGTGTTAGCAAGTGGATATTATAGGTCATTTTTTTAGTTTCAAAATAGAAATCAAAATTTATCACGTATCGTTTTAAAAGATTCTCAGCATAATCGATGTCATCAAGAATGATACAATCGCCATTTAATATATATACAGCTTCAAATAACAACGCTAAATGTTTTAGATATTTATCAGGCAAAATTTTTTCCAAACAAATTAACCCATAATATGCAAAATTGCGCCATTCTGAACATTTGTATGAATTTACGTATTTTAACTCCCGCGTTCTCCTTGATATCCGACTAGGAAATTTTATCGACAACATTACTTTATCAATTTTTCGCCTACTTTGTGGCTCACCAATGTACCACTCCTCTCCTACATCTTTTAGAAACATCAAAAGATGATGCTTTACCACACCAGCTATATTATGCATAGTGTCAACGACAGAACCTTTTCCTAAGTCAAAACCCTTGAGAAGTCCTAGAGCGGAGGGCCCTTTCACTCCCCTAATATTGTTTACATCTCTTTTCCCTTGTTGATAATTTTCTAATGCTTCCACGGCATCAGCTCGTATTGATGCATCCGTGCGGAGAGAATAGGTATCGTCAGCGGGATATTTTGACCCTTTTATTCCCGCGATAAATGTACCCTTATGATAGCAAAAAGTGCATCCCCATTTACCATTGAATTGAGTCATTCGTAAATATTCATAACGCGCTCCAGAGTCAGCGCAGAAAATTAGCGGTATAAATTTACTAATTATGTTGTACCCGACCGATGGTTGCCAAGTTATGCCGTCCACGTATAACTTATTAATTTGTTGCGTAAATGGTAACATATATGCGTTTGGTAGTGGCTTTTGTTTGTCAACCCATATACCCGCAAGTAATATATGTTTTTTCCTCAAGTGAGGAGGTAATTCATTAATTTGAACAAAAAGGGGCCATGCACTCAAAGACGAAGATTCCGAGATGGACGCTCCATCAGTATTGAATGTGAAAGAGAAATTCCACTCGTTATGGAGAAACTTGCCTAGCTCGCATAATTTTTTATATTCTGTACCGTCATAAATATCCCTCATACAATTAGAGTGAGGTCGATTAAAGCGATATTTCAAAAATTGAACTACATTGGGTACACAGAAAAGTTCTTCAATTTGATGTTTCATACTAACTGAAAAGAAAAACGCAACGTGTTTGTGACTTTCATTAGGTCCACACAGCTTACATTCACATTCTTTATCAACAATTTTTCCTACTCCAACTGGAATTCGGCATTCTCGGCAATAAAGCTGGCGCGTAACTGTTTCATCGTTTCGTTGTAGAGCTTTCCATAAACCTTTTTTTGTTGTAGGTAGACCACTGTGATGAGTTGTGCGAGCGATCCATTTATAATATACCAATGTTGCTTCATAAGTCCATTTATGTGCCATTGACATCGCTAATCCAGCTAAGAAATAATCTTTCACAGTTATGTGATCTTGTACATTAAGCCGCTTGTCCAAATGATTTAATGAGCTTTGCATGAAAGGAGTATTGTTATGAGCTTCATTTTCATCATCCTCGGTATCACCATCTTCATCTTCGATACTTGCGCATTCCCAATCATCACCTCTTCGGTTCGCTCTTTCCTGTTCGTCCTCTTCTTCTTCACTTTCTTCAGTGGCGGAATCTCCGCTCTGTAGACTCCGGTCTTCTTGTTTTGATTCACTATCATTAGAACTTATCTCGAGTGAGTTGTCCACAATTTCATTTTCATCTTCATCTCCAATTTGGAAGTTGTCGATCAATTCTTCGGAATCGTAGTCGACATTTATTCCCTCGGGACCATCATTCACATGTCGCTCCCGCTGAAATGTAGTTTCTCCATTAGGCAAATCGTATATGGCAGTCATATCAAGGATAGAGAGCGTCTAGGAAATAAAAGAATTTCTTTCATGCCTGTCATGTCAACAGTCAAAATTAGGTTTAACCAAATTAACAAAATTAGGTTTGCCAGTAAAAAGTTAATATAAAGAATGCTGTCTCTTGAAACTTTTTTCGCATTCGATTTTTATACGTTATTCATTCAGTTCGATCAATAAAAAAAGTATCATTTTGGGATCTAAAACAAATGATGTTTTGAAAAATATTCAATTTGTTATTACTGTTACACTTTTTCATGTATATTTTTAGTAGATTCTTCAAAAAATTAAGAATTGAGGACATATTCTCCAGATATTGGAAGATAGGATAACTATGTCTTTAATGACGGAATTCGCCGATTCATTATATGAAAAATGATTCAAAATTTATGAAGTTTTCTTATGTTTTTTTTTAAAGGTTACATTCCAATTCTCGATACAAGCCACCAAAAAAAACACTAAAAACTATGGTAGTCAAAGTTTTTTTGGCGCCCTTGTATTACCCTATAAAAGAGAACTTCCAAAAAGTAGCATTTTGTTTCAATTTGAAAGTATTACTGATATTAAAAAAGCCCATTTGTAACTCAATCTACCAACTATTTTTACCTATTGCCTATATATATTTTGCATACGAACTATTTTTTTAAAACCAAGTTATAAGAGATGTCCTGTATATGTCATTCTGCTCCCCAAAAATGATTTTAAAAGAAGCTTTCTTAGGTTCTAGCTATGGAGATATTTTCGAAAAAATGATTTTTAAGGGAGAGAAAATTTTAATTTTGTCTCTATTGCACACCTACCTTGTTGAGAGCTTCCAAAATGAAAATAAATTATAGTTTATGAATTTTCATAACTTTCCTTGGTAGAAATTGAATATCACAAAATTATGGCGAATTTTGATAGGCGGGTACAATAGAAGTAACAAAGAAATGTTTCCTCAATGAGCACATGACAAATGCTCAAGAATCATAGTTTTGTAGTATTAATTATAAACTATTATTACCACTCCATCGTTGTGTCTTCCTGGCCAGGCACCAGCCAAAAAATTTTCGTGGTCGAACTCAACGAATGCACGCCGAAATTTTGATTGTCTCCTTTGTATCGCACTCTTCGATGATCCTCGACCTTGACGTTGAAAATTTCCATCATCCATGACTCCTTGCGTCAATATGGAAAATATCAACGGCAGTAAGAAATCTGCGGAAGAAATTTCTTGATAAAATTAAAACAAAAAGTGAATGGACTCCAAAAATGACACTCAAGCCAGTGGCATAAGGGTGATGTGTTCTTTTTCGATTAATGTATCTTCTCATGTTGGCTTTGGAACGATCACAATGAAATTATTTAAATAGATCCAGTTTGTATATGCTCGTTACGATCTCTGAGATTCAGATATTACATGTTACATTTTTTATTTTTATTATGCTCTTTTTCATTTATTTACGGATGAAATTTGCGTCAGAAGTTTCTATTTTGGGATTAAAAGTTTTTTTTTTAAAGAGATTTTGGATTTTTTAATTCGCAATTTTTTAGTTCACATGTTTTCAATCAGTGCATTGACGACTTTTGTTCGGGAAATTTCAATTTTTAAGGACCTTTTGCACGGCGGTGGTATAATAGTAATTTATGCTACAAGGGCTGAAAAGTATTTTGGGCACCTACTTCATCAGAATCCGCCTCAAAGGCGCGGATTTTAATCAAATATGTTTTTAAAATTCTGCTAAAATACGTTGCCAAATTTGCCCCAATCTAATGGTGATTTTTTTTTTTTCCTCTTCTAATTCCCTAAGTTTAATCGGCTGTCAAAGGCTAAATATTTGTCGAGGTCTAACTAACGTTTGAATAGCTCAATTTGAAAAATTAAAAATGTCACATTCGGAGATTTTCATAAACTTCTGGTGGCATTTCATTTTCCTCCTAATCTAATATTTTATTTATTCTTCGTTGATGACTAATCATCTCCTGTAATTTTATACTTTTATTTATGTCTCTCTGGAAAAATATTGCATCTAAATGTCACATTTTTAGTTTTTCAAATTGAGCTATTCAAACGTTAGTTAGATCTCGACAAACACTTAGCCTTTGACAGCGGATTAAACTTAGGGAATTAGAAGGGGAAAAAAAAGAAAAAATATCATCATTAGATTGGGGCAAATTCTAATGGTAACATATTTTTTTTCTTTAAATAAATTCCGAGGTAAGGTATCCACTGTTAATCGCTTTCAAAAGTTAGTATTTCATTAGACATACCCTTGAAATTAGATTATTATATAATTGGTAACAATCATCACTAAATCTCTTTCTAGAAAAAAAAACCAAAATTAAAATTTGTAAATTCTTCGATTTTTCCGGGAGATTTCGGCGGATGAAGATCATTTTCAGCAAACTTCACGGTCATTGAATTTGTTCGAATTTTTAGGTCCCAATCTACGTAGAAATGGTCGGGTGGATTTATACAGCGTTTTCGCTCTTCATTCATTCAAGTGGAGAGATTCTAATTTGAAATGAATACGAGAGAGTTTAAGGAGACTGCAAAATAGGTCAAGTTAAAGGACATTATTCTGCTGCAATGTTATTTATCTTAGCTCGAAAGTAAGTTTAATCTAGATCGTTCTACATCCAAGGCATTAGGTGTCCCTGAACCCGAAGAAAATGATAACTATTCACATTTACAAATATAATAGTATATGTTCGTCCTTACCTGCAAATTCTGCAACAACCAATTCTAGAAACTTCTGATTAATGTGCAATTCTAGAGTTGCGCATGAAATATGAAATGGAAACACTTCAATTCTGATGAACTATAACTTTGAGACAGAAAATGGATTTCTCATGTACACGATTTAAACTTATGTTCAAAGTGATATGAACCTGTGGCGCTAAATAATTTGGGTATTTCTCCGAGCAGACGTTGTTACTTCTTAGAATATTGAATACTTTCTCTAACAAATTGTTCAGACTTAGCGCCTTATAAAGGAGAATGGAAGACCGAAAAGCGTGGAGGGGGAAGAGGTCCGTCGGAGATGATTGGTCAAACCAAGGAAGAGGTGGATTCACTCTAAGAGTGCCTCATGCTTTGAGAGTAGAAAAAAAAAGGGTCTAGGAGGGATGAAGTCTAAGTCTGTAAAATTACAAATCGCAAATTGAAGATTTTCAGAATTTAACCGAAACCTCTAAGAATCCAGAATTTATTTCGTAGTAAGTTCCTGGAATTAACTCCTCAAGGATGCCCAGACCAAGGTTCAATCACCTTGGACGTAAACACTGAAATCAACCCACCTGATGATTTGAATACTTCGAACTCGGAATCTATTGTCTCCCAGGAAGAGGCAATGACCGACACCCAAAACATGATTGCTAACCAACCAACATCGCAAGTACTTGCCCAAAAGAAACAGGCAGTTAACCACATGCCCCCCCCCCCCCCCCCCCAATCCATACCAGTGACAAGACATTGAAGGAAATAACAGAGATACTTACCACATCGATCAAAGAAAATATAGCAGATAAGTTTTATTTAAAACAGCCGAACGGCTCTAATCATATAACAATTTTTTGTCATAATTTAGAGCCTCCGTAAAACAAAATTTCTTTCAATAAGTAACTTCAATTTCTGAACGAAAAATGCAATATAGGTTTCCTAACAAATCTAATTAATTATAGTGGTTGAATTTCCCCCCTCCCATATTCCCCATAAACTTAGGATAATAGAAAAACATAAAATTCCCCCATAAAAACCCAGTAACCTTTGTAACATGCCCAATTTCACTGGGGATGAAATCGGTCAGTTAACCCGCCCTTTTCCCCTGGAATCTAAAATCGTCAAGATAAAATCATAAGTTGGGCGCCAGTCATTTTTTTGTTCCTCCGGAAATAACAAACCGGAATACCCTAAATTTCAAAACGGAAACGAAAACTCAAAAGAATACTATAAAGTAAAGTCTCGAAAGAAAATCCCAGGAAAAGGTGGTAATTACCTGCGCTGCTCAGGGGGTCGATTGTGGAGAGAGGGATGGATTCTGGTGGAAACAAGTTTATTGGGCAAAACTCTAACATAAATCCTCCGAAATCGCGAAATTCAAGAGCGAAACCAGACTATATTCGATATAAAAATTATTAATACAGAGTTGAGTGAAAGAAATACAAAACTAGGCGTAACGTACGCAGAGACACAAAATTTCTAATTACTCGAAATCCAAATAACCTCAGATTTGGCCAAAAGGCACGAGAATCATTTCGGGCGAATATTCGCCATCCTAAAGTAATTTTTAGGATGGCGGTAAACGCATAAGTCAATCAACGGAGCAAGACTCGAGAAGATAACGCCAGTACTAATAATCTTCTATAAATCCAGCTCCATAAATAAACTTTGTAAGGCGCAGGGCGCATGGCATCCAAGATACTGCACAGCTCGAAAACATGCTACAAGTGGAGGCTTACTGAGCATAAAACATAGCCACGTGAGGACTATCGGCCGGCGCAGCACGCGAGATTCAAAATGAATTCTCTAAACGTACGAAAGCGGTACAAAATGTCGAAATATTCGAAATAGTAGCGCGTGAAACGCATGACGAATCGTTAATGTTCGTAGACGTACTTTATTGTTAATAAAACTGGCTAAAACAGTGATTAGAGGCGCTAAGATAACCGTAAGGGGAATGAGAGATGAGAGAGAGTCTCACCTCGGCGTGCCACACAACGAGAGGGCAAGAGATGTTCTCGACTCGGTGTCCAAAGCAAGACTCTCTTAATTAATGATTTCAATTATCCGAAATATTCCCAAAATCGTTTCTAAATGATGACGTACCCGAAAACTCTCGAATGAGGCGTCCAAGACGCAATTGCATCCTGTCGAAAAATGAACATCTCTAACACGAGGCGCGATGTTCTCCCACGGATTTTTTTCCTAAAAATGGCTCTACACGCACGAATTCTGCTCTCCCGTACTGAGCATTAATTAATTATTAATTAGAAGGCGCGAGGAAGACTCTAACACACACTCGTAACGCGAAATCCGCAAAAATAAATGAGAAAGCATGGTAATGCTCACCCCAAATCTTCCTCCGTCTCTCCAGGCTGTACCTCAGCAAAAATTCACGTATTTATCTCCGCCCTGGTCTCTAAATGTTCCTCACACTCGGCACTAGCTCCTCGGCACACAAAGAAAATCCTCTAAACTCGTAATTAACACTAAAAGAACGATAATTTGTTGGACGTATCTCTCGATGTCAACAACGAACTGGCGTTTTCGCAATATGACGGGCGGGAACGCGGTCAGCACCCTATCTCGCAACTAAAACCCTAACGACTTCAAATTTCCTAACGCGCAAAATCTTAAATAGGCAAAACTGCAATTAAATTACTCTCCAGATGCTGGACGGTTTTTCTCCTCAAATAAATTCTTTTTAATTAAGGGCGCGTGTTTAGGATGGTTTTCTCACGCGATCTCGGGATCAGAACGAATGCAATTATATAACTCCTATTTTTTTTCCATAAGTAATTCTTGTTAACTCTTTGGATTCTAATTTTCACGAACCCTAAACAACCTGACTACTCAGGAGTTCCTCATGGTTGCACTGATTCCCTCCTGACCTGTCACCGAAACCCTAACCCTAATCTGTTCTGCCCCGTAAATCCTACAATTGAGCGATAATATCGCAATTATTCCTACACCTATCCTACACATTCGCCTAAGATCGTTATCCTAAATCTAACCGTTCAGCTCGATATTTTTGGCTTAAGACGCGATTAAATAAGGAACTCTCTCTAATTAAATTTTATTTTTCAAAATTGTAATTCAGTATTTTGGCGATAATTCGCAATAATCCTTCCCTAAACCTCAATCATCTTAAGTCGATATTTTCGGCGTGAAAACGCAATTAAATTCTCAAACTAAATTTTGGCATCAATAATGCATTTAAATCCTCAAATTTTAAGCGACTCTAAATCTCAATTCTGGATTCTACTGGGTCTTTTCCTACGTACTCACGATAATTTTAACAATTTTCTTGGTGATCTCGACGTCCAAAAGGAAACTCCCCAGATTTCTTTACACCCTGTTTACCTACTCATTGTCACTCGCAAACACCGTTAAGCCCTTTTTTTTAACACAAGTAGTAAAATTTCTTCATCTCGGATTGGACGTGAAATCACTCAGTATAACCAGCAGTAATTTGTCCAGAGTTAAAAGATTGTCGGTAATTTACTGGAATCTTGACCATACCAAAAAATTATGTTTTATAAGTTGGAAGATCGAATGCTAAATTTTATATGAGAAATAAAATGAGATATTTAAAAAATCTGTTATTCTAAGTGTTGCATGCAGATACACGCGAATTTACTAAAAATGGTTAATCGTATGTAAAATACCGATATTACTTGGTTTTACTTAATAACCTCCCCCCCCCCGGCCGCCATTCATCAAACTTCAATATTTTGGCATTTTATGACTGCAGAAGCACCCACTTCACCCACTATGTTGATGATTATTGCTTTCAATCCATTCCAATCATCTCTACCTGGGGAACTCCCCCTTCTCCTCAATCTTTAAGACCGAGAAAATTCAAAATCGCCTGACCAAGCTCGGATTACCCTGCCCTTTTACTTTCCAACCACTAATACGAAAACTACCAATATAATTACTGCACTCCCACATGGATGAAAACCTGAGCCCAATGAGTTTTAAGACAGTCCAAATTGTTGGTCAGTTCAATTCAGTTTGGCCAATTGTAAAAACTACGCTCTTCCTGGAACTTACAACTATACCAGGTTCCAAAAGGAAAGCATTATCTTGGAATAAACAGAGATAATAAATGCGCTGCATTTGGATCTCTTCATAACTATGTTTATAAATCGTCTACAAATATAAGAGTTTTGTGATTGTAACATATATAATTTGTTTTCTTTCAGCCACAGTGATTGTTTCTCAGTCTGAGTTAGAAAAGTAGTTGAAATACATCTAGAAAAGATTTAATGATGAAAAGATAGCGAAAAACTAGATTAAAATACACTAATAGTAAGCTAAGAGTTGAATATTGGTTATCATATTATATAAATCACCAGTTTCAATTTTTCCACGTTCTTTGAGCGATTCACATTACCCCCATTTATTCCCGGATTCACTCATAATTTATAAATATTTGATAAAAACAAACTTTGCTACTCCGCTATAATTTGGTTGCTTATTAGCAGGGAGAAAAATGCGTTTTTAAAATGAAAATATCGATCGTTAATATGAGCGATTTCAGCACAAAGGATCTTGATGCTAAACTAAGCATATCGATACCGTTTCGAGTTCATGAGAAATTCTCATCAGAAATTTTGTTCATCCTCTCCAACTAATATGTATATTCTAAGTTATTTTACATAATAAATGACATTCCATTTGTAATGCATTTTAACCATATGTGTACTTACCAATCATTGAAATAATTTTTGTTGGTTCAGGTCTCAGTTGGTTTTGTTTTAACTGACAGGTGACAGGTTATGCATGAGTGGCATAGCAAATTGTCGAAATTTTTCTAACGAAATAATTATCCGAAAATATCAGAGGTCCAAAGGCATTTCATAATTTCGAAAAGATATTATATATTATATCACATATTTGGCTGAGCACACCACTAAATTTGACATCAGATAATTTAACTTCATTGTTTCAATTATCATTTATGGTATCTAAAATTTATTTGTGAACAAAAACGGTAATAGTGATATCCAGAAATGTAGAAAATTTTAGAAAACATCGCAATGCCGGGAGCCTATTCTTTTTGAACCGATAGTAGTTCTCTCAGTATTCTCCTTTCCGAAGTTTTTATGGCGCTGGCTGATGCAAAGAGAGGAAACCGTGACGAACGAAAACATTCGATGTAAATTGGAGTGGGGGGTTATCCTTCCATCAGGATAATTTTTATGTAATTTCAGAATAAATTTTACTAAAAATTTCTCTCCGTGTGGAGAAACAACCGATGGACGGAATGAAAAATGAGTTCACTTTCATAAATTCGAAAAATTGTTAAACAAATTAGGGAAAAAAAGTCTCGCGAATATATACTCAAACGATTGGTAATTAGCTGAAATGTCGAGATTTACTGGTCCATTGGAACCTTTTTTTTGAACGGTTCCATTTTTGTCAACAAATTCAACAATTATTAATCAAAGGGGGGGG